GCAAATCATGCCATTGTGCTAACTCTAAGGTTAAGGTGATCTCAGGTTGTATAAGGATTTTTTAAAATAAATACATATATGTACGTATGTGTATATGTACACTCAAAATAAAAGGCAGGATCTGTCAACCTCTGATAGGAGTTCAATTAAAAAAAACAAAAAACAGAGAGAGAAATGAAGGCAGATATTTCCTCTTGGGACTATGGCAAACTTGGCTGGTAGAGCCTTAGGACTTGATGGTAATTGATATGTGAATCTGATGGCCAAATGAAATTACAAGTGAACATGTAACTGTAATTGAAATGGAACTCCAATGACAATCAGCTTAGCGAGTCATCCAGTGACTGAAGGTATGTTCTGGAGAGGATGTGGAGCAGCACTTTCTTATAGCTTCCTTGTAGTTATGTGGCACCTTCCTTTGCTAAGCTCCATTTTTTTGTTCTGTTTAGTCATGTAAGCACACTTGCAGATTGTAAATGCTTATTCTAAATGACTATAGCCTATAACAGGCTTTTTGAACTAAAGTCATATTTTATTTTCTACGAGCTGGATGTTTCCAGGAGCATAAATGGTCTTCAGGATGGCTGCTTGTGAGACTTGCTGTTTTTATCTCCAAAACATAAAGTGACATAATAAGAAATAAGCATTTGTATTTTTCATACTGTCTTTCTGAAGGTGATTTGATCTCATGGATGTGTAGACAGCTGCAGAGTTTGTAAAGAAAATTATTGATTCCAGTACAAAAAACAGAGTTCCTATTAATTTCTTCATGATATATTTTGGGCAGCAGCTGGATGAATTCTTCGTAAAACTTTCTATTGTCTTCCCTGCGTAAAACATTCATCTGAATTCCATAAAGTTTTAACACACAAAGCTTATGCCTCATATATTCCTTCTCCCAAGGGAAGTGTAATAACAACAGTTTTGGTCAAATTGAGTTTTGATTATTTTGGCTACCTACATTGAGTTTGTGGTATGCTCAGGATAATGTGGTCTTGTTCACTACTTCTTATCCTGTTTTTCTTTACAGCCTCACTGTATGATGTTGAGTAGCTATCAAACTATAACCAAGACAGCATTATATTAGAATGGAGATTTGTGCTGATCTCAACACAGAGCATAGAAGTTATACATTGTATGGGATGCCCAGCAAGATACTGTATGGCTGTACGTTTCTGTTTTGGTTGTTGTGGTTTTTTTGTTTTGCTTTGTGCTGTACATAGTTGCTAATTACCAAAGTTAGCTATGTTTTTGGCATGTTTTCTCTTTTACTGTTCTTTCTCATTCTTGCCGGATTTAAGAATGAAGTAATTTTAGTGTGTGTAGTTCTCAGGAAATTTTAGAGGTGCAGAAGCACTCTGCTGGATGTTGTGCAGGTACAACACATGCTTCAGCTGCAGTTTGGCATCCCTATGCACAAAACTGAGACTGTAGTCACTTAGGGTAGGGAGAGGAATGGATGCTTCTGGGTCATGATACATGCTGAGGTTAAGGCTGGCCTGTGAAATACCATAGCATATTGATGCCTTCCTTCAGCACTGTGGAAGGCAGAGCAGAGCAAGAGAATCGATTTGAGTCTGCACCCATGTGGAAAGCCAGCCATATGAAGCCTCATTCAGCTTTGCAGTCTGCTGAGACTTTTTTGCTTCCTTGCTTTTTTGGCTGCAGAAAGAAATGGAATGCTGGTGAGGAAAAAAGTGGTAGTAATATTCTCAGTCAGCCAGCCATCTCTTGCTGTTGACCTTGAACTAATGAAAAAGGGATAGATTCTGCTGCCTGTTCCCTCTCTGTCCAGATAATGAGAGTGGAGAGACATAATCATAAATCGGCATTGCTTTGCCTGTTTGAAAGTCTGGACAATGGGGAATATCACAGGACGTGTTTTATTTTTACCCTACAGTTCACATAGGCATTTGTCCCAGAATGTTTCTGCTCTGTTTTTTTGCCTTGTGCTTCATTTCATGCAGCAGTAATTCTAATTCAGATGAACTCGCTCCCATTTGTTGACTTAAACTTTCAATATGAGAACAGTTGTACTCCCTGATCTGGTAATGAACTGTTTTGATATTCACATTTTATAGATGCAATACTTTCACTGTATGCAGTTCTACAGTAGTGTAACTCCACTCTGACTTTTCATAGGGGGAAAAAAAAGCAGCAAGCATATATGTAAGATTTTTTTGTACACAATAACAAGGAAAAACTCCATTAACTTATTCCTGTTTTCATTGTGCAGGGAAATTGAAATGAAGACTGGCCAAGCTTGTAGATTTATTTTTGAAAATAATAATTTAAGAATAAAAATAAAAACAAAGGAACATGGAATGTGGGAGTTCACTTCCAAATGTAGGTGTAGATGTAGAACTGCCCTATGCAGAGTAACTAGAAAGTTGTCTTTTGCAATGTACTCATTCCCATCCCAAGAAAATATAACTCTTTAAAGCAGTTTCTTGTTAAGGGTTAGTTCAGAAATTGGACTGAGTCTGAGACAGAAAATAATTCAGTAACCTGAATAATGTAGTAGTCCAATTGGTGTGGTCAACAGATAAACAATAGTGACAAGGTGTTTTAGTACTTAACCAAGATGCCAAGACAATGTCAGCCAATAAAATGATATCCTACAATCTGTGGAATGGTTTTAAGTGAATGCAAACAGACAGTTTTTTCTTTTAATCCTACTGTGTGCAATAACAAAAGCTCAGGAAGGGCTATATTTAAAAACAGAGGAAACGTACGGAATCCAAAAGAAGAGCAGGTTGCATTGTTTCTCCTCAGATTTCAAGTAGGACAATGGCTGCGGTGGTACTACTTTCCTCCTTCCCAAAGGTGAAGTTAAGCTCTGAGAATGGCAGGACATTTTCCTGGAGAAAGCAGGGTTAAGGGGTGAGCAGGGCAGCACACAGAGATGTTCGTACTTGTGTTCCCATGATGGAAATGCTACACTTAGCATTCAGAACGAAGCTGAAATCTGTAGGAGACATGAACTGAATCACTGAATGTGCAGCAGAAGCAGTTGGCTTATACACGAATACATTGCCAGCCAAAGAAGGGACTGTAAATACAGCTCTCTGGAGCAAATGAGATAGCCATCATTTGTTTTCCCTCATTTGAGGCCTATTAGCCTGTTTCAGCTTGCCTCTATCCAGGAAAAAGCACTGCTGGGAGAACTGGTGAGGACTGTTGTAGGGAGCTGGCTGGCTGGCCATCTTAGCCATGTTCCCTTTGCTAAGAGGTGGGGCTTCATCACTGTCCTGCTGCTGCCTGCCTGGGCCAGCGGTCTACTAGTGATCAAGTCATGTGGCAAGCAGGTTTGTTTCATCAGCTGACCAACTCTGGCCAGAAGAATGGGAGTATTTTCATCAGCTTGATGTGCTGAATGAGGTTGCTTTGCAGTAAGACAACTGTCAGAGCCAGCTCCAAGGGTGGATCATCCCAAGGGTGAAGCCTCCTCCTTCCAGTGGGTTTTAGCTCATGTCATGAGAACATACCTCAGTTTGTCCCTGTCAGTAGGTTATTGTGTCAAGAGTGGTTTCAGTATTCAGTCAGTGTGATTTGTTCCTGTACAGCCACAATGGAAAGTTACATCCTGGGGCCAAATTAACCAGCAACTTCAATTTTGGTCCACTGACTTACCCCAGTGTAGGTCCCTATGTTGGTCTTCAGAATCTAGAGTCTATTAAAGAAGCTTTAATGCATAACGGTTCTTAGCTAGCAAACAGAGGAGCTAATGCTGAACTTCAGGCTTGTTTCCAAAGATTACAATGTCTTTCATCTCTTTTGGTATTAATGAAGGGCCTAATATAGTATGGCCATCCTCTACCTTTGAGGTTAAGATACTGAATGGGTTTATGGAGTTCTTAAGCCCAAATGTATTTTTAGAATGCCTTGAATTAGTGGAAGCACGGTGAGATATTCCATGTATCTAACTATCATCTAAGGAAAAAGCAGGGTAGGAAGCATGGTGGCTCAGATTGATCCAGACTATTCCTGCCTTGATACTGCCCACAGTTGTGTCCTTTAACTTGTGCCAGTGCAGTTACTGGAGCCATAGAAGCCTCTCTTGACTAAAGGGGCTGAAACAGAAGATGAAGAGGATTAACAAATAGGATAATTTTGCTGAACCAACACTCAGACATCTTCTTCTTAGGGAGAAGGTAGGAGTGCTAAGGTGGGAAGCAGGGGTACCTCTGGTCTCAGGTGGTATAAGCTGTGGTGGGTCTGCACCTCAGGATTTCTGTGTCACTCCTGTGTCTTTAATTGCTGCTAAAACATCAATTGTAGATAATTATATAAGTAGCGTGAGCAGGGTTTTATTTAATTGTGTAATTTAAGGCCATGAGATTATTCACATTTAAAAATACAGAGATGCTGGTGTTTCATGCCAGATCAGGATCTTAATTATATATAGTTTGAGATAATTGGGTTGCTTTAGCTTCGTATCTACTGATTCTAACTACTAAATTAGTATTCAACTACAAGCCATGTATGTTTAGTTGAACTATTTTAATTTGTTCCTCACATTAAGTAATTGGTCATGAAAGTGTTACAATTAATTCTGCTTCTGTATTCTGAAAAGGTCTGCAGCTCAGCACATTTACATAACCAGGTGAATTCAAGCAGTTACATCCTTGCTCTTTGCTGTATTAATTTCCTGCTATATATAAGTTGATGTGTTCCAGACAAATATGCTGAGAAACAAAGAAGTCCTAGTGCGTATTCTTCATTTTCTTAAAGAGTTTAGTCTTATGGTTACTTTAGTATACTAGCCTCCATTTTGTGGCTTTTATTTTCTCTTTCATGTGTTTTGGAAGCATATACTTAAAAATGAGTTGAAGAAGTACAGAGTTTGGCATTTTAAATCAAAACAAGAAATGTGAAGTTTGCATCTGTAGTTGAATTCACAGTGAACAATCTCACCATTTAATCTGAGTTTTACGTGGGTAGTGTGATCTACCTCTGTGCAGATACAGGATTGTAACTTAATTTCTTTGTTTCCACAGATGAGCACTATGCCAGGACTGCCCACAAGACCATGCTTCTATGACATTGATCTTGACCCCGTCACAGAGGAAGTAAAGGGATTGTTCTGATGCTGAGGTCCAAATTCAGGTTGGTCAGCAGCCATTATTTTCCTATTCCGGGAGGAATATTCCTATTTCCCTAATAGGAAAATTTCATACTGGGGGGAGGATGTTTGTCTCTGGTACATATATATATATATATATATATATATATATGTTTATAATTTATTATTAGGAGTTTTTCTAGGCCATAGTTTCACAGAGGACTTCACACATGGGTTTGAGAAAATGTTTCATAATGTGCCTTCTCATTTGCTGACTGATTGCTAGCATTTGTTCTGATGTATTTTGGTGGTGTACATTGATAATGCCCTTGGATTTCCTGTGTCTGTCAGTTTGGAGTGAGAGGGAACTGGCTCTGGAATTATACCACTCTTGACTATGGAGAAAAGTCTGTCTGAAGAATTTGTGTCCTGTTAGTCACCTAAAAAGAAACATCTAATTCATCTTTGATACTACTTTCATGTGGCAGTGTGTTTCTGTCATTACCTGGATATCAGGGGAGATGTTTTTCTGCTTTATCATGAGCTTTGTTTCGTTTTCTTTTTCGCTTTTCTTCCTGATTGCTGTCATCCTCTCAAATGATAAAAAGCTTGTCAAGAATGTTGATCTGTCCTCAGGCTTTGCATTTTTCATGCTGGCTTCACTCCTTTTCCTTGAAAGCTGCTGTTTCCCCACAATCTCCACCCTTCTCTAAGTACTTAATTCTCTCGGTGTTCCTTTTTAACTGTGTGTAGCATGTGTTCCTCACTTGAAAATCCAAACTGCTAAAATATTTAATGCTACTTCATTTTAACCTTGCACCATGCTGAATGTAGTAAGAGAGGATGAAACCCTAACTGATGCAAAACACCTTGCAATGGGACACTCCTATTACTTCTCTCTCTTACCCCAGTAAATCAGTCTGGAGAGTAAAAAATTCCTTTTTCACAGAATGACAGTATTGTCTTGTAACTGAGCTCTTAGGGCTGTGCTGGCACCTCAGGTCAGCTGCAGGTTTGAGGCGAATGTGCCCAGGTATTCGAGCAATCCTTGTTTACTCTAATTTGAGACAGCTTTCATTTTCTGTTTTTGGCTGTTGTTTGGAGGAGGGGAGAGGTTTGCACAGCCCAGGGAGAATGCTGCTCAGATCAAATTAACCATTAGTTTGTCCATACTTGATCCTCACAGCATTCACATAACATCCGCTGAGAGCAGATTCTACCATTTCAGGTGTACCAGTCAAGACAAGTAAAAACCAATTAGCTTGGAAGTTAGACAGGACAGACAAGTAATTACTACCTGACATGCTGGTAGTGAGCAGTGCTTACGTGCACACAAACTGTCCCTGACTGTTCTGTTGCTGGCTAGTATTACGCTTACTGCTTCTTGACATGTATCTCATTTTTGTTACTGATGTGCATTACATGCCTAATGGCTTCTTACATACATATTGATTTATCATGTGTCAGTCGTGTCATTCATTACCTCTGAGTCATCTAAAATGACTGTAGTATCCTAATGTAAAATCTATGTGCAGATTCACGTAGCTTGCTTAATCGTGTGGTTACTGCATAGTCTTCCACAAATCCATCCACTCCATGGATTGGTGTGTTGTGGAAAGTGATCATAATTAAGCAGATTAAATGATTAAATACTCCATTTTGTGAATGTCTTTCATGTGAAGTAGTGCATGAAATGAAAATGTTAGCCATGGCTTTTTAATCAGAAATGATGGTTTCCTAACTGTAAAAAGAAGTGCTAACCAAGTCACAAAAACTAGATAGGCAAAAAAATGGTGTAGTTTCAACTGCAAATAAATAATTTTGATTTTGTTACAGCAGTGTTGGCGGCATCAGATAGATAGATGGACAATTCAGTAAGTTTAAGCCTTCTAAAGAAAAAATAGGCACATGTTCACCTGCATTCCTGTTTTATATGAATAAATGTCCTGCACTGAGAATATCGTAATACCCAGAGAGCACAATACAGGGCGGGCTCTATTCATTAATTATAAAATTTATCCAGTTCACGTGCTAGACTTGTACATCTGTTATTTTGAAGAAAGAGAGAAAGTACGTTCTCAGATATCTTTACTTCCAGTTTTCTTTAGAGGATCCTAGTATTGTTCTTTGCTTTCAAAATTTCACAGAAGCGAACCCACATTGTAGCTGATATTACGCTTCAGAGGATCCAATAATTTGTTTCTGCAATGTCAGATTGAGGGATTTTTTTTACTTCCACTCAATTTGAATTCTTTTCTTGGGGTTTTAGCATACAATGTAAAATTTCTAGTTATAAGATACAGTACCAACCCATTAGAAATTATTTAAATCTTTAAGATGTGGCAATTGAAATGTATTTAGAGATTAGTGTCAGAGCTACAGATGTTTCTCTATAAATTCCTGAGAGCAGTTGTGTTAGTGTGCAGTTTGCATCCTCCTCTGCAAAGTTTACCTTCAAGGGACTTGTGAAAGAGTTACAGATAAACATTCCTGCTGTCAGGTGATGGCATGCTGCTCTCCTTGCACAGCCACACTGAGTATCATCAGCCCCTCTGATTTTTCTCCACCTCTTCACAGTGTCATAGAAACAGATGACACTTGTCACCCAAAAAAGTTGCAAAATACCAGTCGTGTATATACTCTTCTATAAAGTCAAATGAGCAAGACCTTTGGCTCAGTGTTTTTCTGTTGACAGTTAGCAGGTACATATATGATACGTAGGAGAAACATGCTCTATTTTCTTTTTTTTAAAAAAGAAATATTTGAATATCTGGAATAAACCTGAAAGAATCTGGGCAGTCTTTTGTCCCTGGCCATTGCCCTATTTATCCTATACTGCCTGGTGTATGCTAAGTGAAAAATCGAAATCGTTTCCTTGAGAGCCATCTATAGATAGCTCCAGTCAGAATACAAATTACTTAGATGGAGGCAAGTCTGCCAGGAGGAAGAATTATTAAAAAAATATTAGATATATATATTATTTGCACAAAGAGGGGAGTTTATGAACCCGGCTCTCTCTGCAAAATCACAATCCAGTCACAGCTAAGACCCTTGTGAGCTCTTAAGTTCCCTCTGATGCAGTCAGCAGCAGCAGGTGCCTCTCCTACTGTGCCTCTGTTGATGAGGAAGGCAGCAGTTTTCCTCTGTTGGCACTGACTTAGTAAGGCTGTGGCTGCCCATAGGTGCAGAAATGTTTCTGCACTTGTCTCCTCTTCACATTGTCAGAGCATCAGCACGATTGTGATAAAGAATTCCAACCTCAGAGCTCTGCCAGCATCTGCGTGGTCATAAAGCTTGAGGGGGGGCACCAACACTGGTATCATGAAATCGGGAAATATATGTTGAATGTTTTCATCTTAATTCATCCAGATGTGGATAGGAGTCATTTGAATGCTTTTTCTTTGTGTCCATAAGAGCAATTCAATGAAACCAATAAACAGAGTTGCTTTATTGTTGTTCTGCAGTACTGCACTTCAGGGTGTCAGTTAGCAGCAGTTACTGTTATAATGTAGAGCTTGAAGTCCACATCATATGGGAATGGAGCTCAGATCTCTGTTTTCCTCCCAGCAGGGATATAGAGATCATAAACGGAAGGTGCGTGTGACATAAATAAGCGTTCCTGTTTATTATGATTAAGGCAAAAATATCCAATTTTGCTAAAATGCTGCAAGTACATTTAAGACTCTACTTCCATTTCTTTTCTTTGAAGACTTCTTGTTTCAACTTACAATTTCATTGTCTTTCTCATTTCAGAAGTCTGGACATTAAGAACTGCAACTCCCCTATTTCCTGCAAATAAGAGACAAAAGTGAATTTGAAATATTCCTGTTATGTGTCTCTGGAAGAATGTCAAAATAAACCACAGAGCGAAAGTTTATTCTTTCTTCAAACTAGTTTTTAGGATGAAATATAACTGTAAGGTTGTTTTTGTTTGTTTATTTTTAAGAAAAAAGGCAGGCTAAATGTTTCTCTCTGTAATGCAGAAAGCTCTCTGCTGGGTCTTGTATTTGGTGCTGAATAAAATGACATCGAGAAAGTGGAATTTTTCTCTTTGGAGTTTTCATCTTTTCTCAAAGCAGTTAACAGAAGTATTTGGCTATCTAAAAACTTACGCAAACATGATTATTCTCTGTGACTGAGTCTGTTCCTCCCAGAAAAATACACTTTGGCTCCTGGCATTCAGGAGCAGAAGCTGCACACAGATTAACTTCACATTTTTGAGTTATCATCAAGTGTTGCTCGGATTCATTTGGGCAAAAGCCAAGCTTCAAGCGAGGAAGATACTAAGTGGAGAAAGAACAGAGCATGTATTCTGTGAAGGGTTTTTAATATATAATTTGTTTCCTTGATGGGCAAAGATCTTTTGAAACACTTCAGCCATCGCTGTCTCTCATCCATAGGCTGCGTATCTCTGAGGCTGTCCAGCTGGTGCTGTGCTTGTTGTGGGGAAGCCGGTTGTGAATGTTAGTTGTTCAGGGAGGGCATTGCTCTGCCTGAAGCCCTGTTTTGCTTCTCTTCATGTCTAATGAAGCCTCCTGCTGTGCTGGCTCCCGACCAGCACTGTTGCTTGTGGCATTCAAGGCCCAGGAACAAGAGAGGAATGAATGGTCATCAAGTGAGGATGCAACAGGAAAGAACTTTGTTGTGCAGTTTTTAACCACCTTGTAAAGCTAGAGTGCCTTTTGTATTTCACGTAGGTATTCAAGCAACTTAAATCCTCAGCTTTGTGCTTTAGCTTACCTCCAGTCTCTCAAATCTGCAGCAAAATGTGCCTTAAGCATTGGATACTGCATTTAACTTTTCAGGCTGCTGCTCCTCAGGAAACTCTCACTGACTCTCACTGTTGGTTCCCTCAATAACAAAAAATGCAACAGGACAATAGGTCTAATCAAGATAATGGGACATTGTTTTTTTTTAGGTAAAAAGCAGCAAAATAATGATGAGAGAATGTATTTTCCTGGTGACATTTTCCATCCTGTTGCTTTGCTCTGCTTACGCACATCTGTGTAGTATGGGCTTATACAATGTAGTTTTGGTTCCCTTTTTCACAGCTACATTTGGATACAGAGTTGCAGCACAGTTCCTGAGGTAATTGAGGGTCCTGTTTTGGTTTTTAAAATCATTCTTCGTTATTTATAAACCCCAAACTATAATTATGGACAGAAGAACAAACTGGGGGTAATTAAAGTAATTATCTGTGCCTTCCCTGGCGTAGCACGGAAATGTCTGCTGACTGCATTTCAGAACCTATTCATAGTACCGTCTCCCAGTGCCAGGGGATCACTGTGATGATAAACTTCAACATGAAAAATAAAGCTGCCTGATCCTTTAGCCTGATTAGATGATAGAGCTCATAATGTCCTAAACTGTGGATGCTTTAATTACATTGAGGCAGGACGAACGTGCTAAGTAGAAGGCAAGATTCACATAAGGATTTCACAGCTCCTCTGGAGAGAGAGTTCTGGTGTTCTGTATTAAATTATGCCCCAGAATACAACCCCATTATTTGTATATATCTTGTAATGCAGTCCTGTGCACATCGAGAGGAATATAGAAAAACTCCACAGACTTTTGGAAGAATATAAGAGAGGTTTCCAGACATAGTTTTTCTCTATTTCCTATAGTTATTAAAAGACATATGAGGTTTTCCCTCTGTCTTGGCCAGCAAAATTCAGAAAACCCTAACTGTGCCTTCCCTGGGTTTGCTGTGGTTTCCCCACTGGTGTGTGGGACTGCAGTGTGGGACGTGAACAATTGGTGTCTGGAGGACAGGTTGTGTAAGCCACTGATTTCAAGCTGTTGCTCAATACCCACACACTTGCTCTATTGCAGCCTCCACGCTGTCACATCAGGCCGTTTGTGCTGGGACTGCTTTTCTGACCCATCAGTCTCTCCCTGAAACACCATTCCAGCTCTATTCGTTAACAAACATCCTGCAATTTTTCTACTGTCACGTGTGCAGTATTTGTTATGCTGTTTTGATAGCTTCAATAATTGAAGGAAAGCTGCAATGGCTCCTTTTTTTTTTTTGTCCTAGCCTTTTGCCCCCACCTAGTTAACTATCTGCAAAATCCCTTGAGCTGTTCCATTTTTGGCTCTTCATTTATATTTTAGCAGAAGATTTGTTAAGATTAATTCACACTGGCCTGTAGGTTCTGTATTGGAATGCACAGAGACTGAGCTATTGGCCATCCACTGTGCCTTCCCCTGGGCCACCCAACTGCTGGGGCCAAATGCCTTCATCAAGAAGGGCTTAAAATGAGATCTTTGCAAGGTGAGTGGTACTTCTTGGTGCACTGCTTGTTGCTGCACAGCTGGGCCTGCAGATATGAGGCTCCTGCCTTGCACTGATTTTGAGCAGTTCTGCAGTTTTGCGAGGCTTCTTGTTGTGAGTCCTGCATTTGCTAATGGTGTTAAAGGTGCTAAAAGTGTTTAAAATCACCTGGTTGTTTACTGTTGGGTCTGATTTTTGTAACGTCTGAATAGTTTGCTGTTGCTGCTGCAGAAAATGGTGACATTGAAACACACCACTTACAGCAGATTTCTTGGTCCATATGTTAAAATCCAAAACTCTGGATTTTCAGTTACTGTAAACATCAAAATAAAGTGCATGCATATGCTGATGTTCAGTTTGCAAAAGTGGCTCCTGTCTTAAATCTGAATTCAACAATGTAGTACCTCTATTATTTTATATTGTTCTCTTTTTATCCACCATCCAATCTATTTAAATAGTGATCTGTTCTTCTCTGCTAAGCCACCAAGTCTTGCCATGTCCCTGTCTCCAGCTGAACACAATCATAGCAAGAGGGAGCTCAATATCATGGTGGTTGAGTGCCAGGAGTGAGCAAGGCGTGGGGCTTCCCTCTGTGCTGTTGGCAGGAGCTGTCCCTGCAAGCCAGGAAGGCTCTGTGGCTGTGGCCACTAGGGACTGTGCACAGAGGGCCTACCCACCCCATCTTCTCTCTTGTTGCGGCCCTTTTGAAGTTAGTTTGTGTTCAGAGGAAAGGACACACCAGATTAACATCCTGTCCTGGTCTCAAAATATCTAGCTATTGCCTTTGGTCCTTGGTGTGAAAGACTGGATCAGACGCAAGGATCAGCTGGACACTTTCCACTTCTCAGCTGGAAACTGGATTTGTGTGAAGAAATATCTGGTACAGGAATGTGCACCCAAGAGTGCACGCAAGAGCTTGGGGTGGGTTTGAAATACAAGAAATGCAAAAGTTTCAGGAACGGTAGGTGTTAACTTGATTGGATCATAACACAGCAGCAAGCAACTTAGGAACAGGAAGAAATAAAATGGGGAAGCAAGATGGGCAGGAGGAGGTGGAAAGAAATCAAGCATTTCAAGCATGTACTGGACATTGCTCCTGTTTGCTAAATACTAAGACAAAGTCATTTGGACTAGTAGCAGGTTTTAACATATCTCATAGCTAGGTTTCAAAGAGGCTTTTCATCTTCTCTACAGTGTTTCAGCAAAGAACTTTCTCCAACATAAGGAATATAAAGATAAATTTGAAAGCCAAGCTAGGCCCCCTGCTTGAAAGGAAATGAAAACACTGGAAGCCCCTTCAAGCATTTGTCTCAAGAGCAGGATGGCTGCACTGCACTTGCTTGTTCACCCTGAGTTTAAAGACCAAGTGTTTAGGTAAAGTAAGTTAAATGCAAATATTTCCCAAGTGTGATTATAGTAATGGTTCCCTGCTCCATGCTCTTGTGTTACATATACACAAGCATGTGTGAGGGAATATGTATGTGTGCATGCAGTTTTTTATGTAAAGCTTTAAATATTTACTTCCCAAGTAAACCTTTTGACTTGAAACCTTTGAGCAACTGTTGGGAAGAGCCAGACCACCGCCTGCCAGCATAGGCTTGGCTGGACAAGGCCCTGAAGAACCTCTCCAAGTCAACCCCATTTGCACTGGAATCAGAGCAGGAGAGCTCCAGGTCTTTCCCAGGCAAGCTATTCTGTAAACCCTTGAACTATGATGCTGGTAGGAAAAGTTAGCAATAGGCAAGCATACAGAGCTTCAGTACACGTGTGTAGAGACTATAAGAACTTTTGTTCACAGAGCAGAGTACTAACAGAAATGGGAATGGATCAAATACATGTCACATTCTTTTTTTTTTTTAGCGTCAATATCTGGTAACAAAGTTAATTTGGTTCTTAAAGCCAGAGAAAACGTTAAGCTTTTCAGGACATGGTCTATTGGTATCCCATAACACAGCACCTGCATGTTCCCATGACATACACAGTGAGTATTCTTCACAGAAATGAATTATGACTGTGTTTATACTGTGTACATATTATATAGATGACATGTAACTATGTTGCTACATGAATTCCAGGATGTTTCCTTCCAATTTCATTTCTGCCAGAAAGCCTGAGGGGAAATCTGAGAAGGGGGAGGAAAGCCTGATAGATGACTTGTGGCAGCAGACCAGCTCCTGCACAGCTTTTGGTCAGTCAGCATCTCTACAAGGAGACAACACTGTTGCATTTGCCAGTTCCTCAGTTGTGGTATTGCACCCATTCCCACTCAGCTCACCTGAAGCACGTATCACCTTGGTGTGTCCACTGCAGTCAGAAGAGCTGTATTTTCCAGCCTGTTTTTCAGGTGTTTGAGGTAAGTGAGCTTCAGGTGAGGAAGAATTGACATCCCAACTGCTGGGATTGCAGCCCAGGGTGTGACACTACAGGTGGGTATTTGTCAGTAATAGGGCTGTAAGAGACTTCCTGACTCCATCCATTCTATCTTACAGCATCTGAAAGCCTCAGGACTTGACAACTTGTTTGTATGTTTACCGTGGACTGTTTAGAAAGCAGACGTCCTGCTTGCAGCAGAGTATTGCCAAAATAGAGCTTGAGGCTTATGGCTGCTGCAGCAGTGGCCTCTTTAGGCTGAGACTACAAGCAAGCATGAACATGTGGTCTTAGTTTGCAGAGAAATACTCCGTATGTTGTTAGTAAGATAAGGTCCCATCACATCTATTTGTATCTTTGTGAATGGATCCTTACCCCATGAACACTTGAGTTTTTCC